CATACACACACACACAACATAATAATATATATGATATATATATATATTTAAAAAGAAGAGAGGAGATGATATATTTCATCCTTTTGGATAAGATATATTTTATTCTCTTCTTTTTAATAGCAATATGCAAACAAAAATTTACAAACAGGAATCATTTTGAACTCAATAGCAAAGTTAGATTATTATTACATTTATTATATACATCTTATAAGAATGATTTAATTATTTATTTTCAACAAAAAAATATATAATATATAGTATTAGTACTATACTATATATGAGATTGATTGTAAATCTTAAAAACAATTGATAATAGAAATCATTCTTTAATTACATAGGAAAGAGGATCATGTCGAATAGTTCTCTAATTATTTAGTTTTGCTCTATAAATTTGACTCAATGAGATCATAAAGGTGAACTTTCATGCGAATATCAGAGACTGAATTTCGTAAGGGCAAATGGGTCCTTTACTTTTTCCATTGTTTGAACATTTTATATGAGACGAGATGATTATTAACATAGGCAAGGCGATATATTTTTCAAATATAAAAATATATATTGTACAAAGATATATAAAAAAGAGAAAAATCGTTTTAGTCAACGCATAAAGAATTATTAGCCGATTAAATTTTTTATTACAAGGGTGCATGTACAGTTTAATGTTATAAAACCTTTTGTAAAACTTATGGTTAACACAAATTACACCTATTGAAATTAATTGTCTTATAGCTGACAAATTCTATGATACTTTGCACAAGATATAAATTATTATTCTATGTTTAAAAATACATTACATTTTTGCATTATTTACGCGCGATAATATTATTTATGACGTTTAGACTAACTGAAGTGATATCATTAAAAATTCTCTAAGTTTTCATCTTCATAAAGTATATTATAAAAAAAAATTTGAAAATTATAAAATTCTAATCATTTTTTTTATATCAACGAAATCTTTAATACATTTTGTATCAATAAACATTGTAATATTTATTGATTTTTAATATACATATCAATATTAATCGCGCGTATAAGATATCTACATAATCTATTGTATAAATGTGAAATATACGATTTAATATGAAATTCGCTTAGTTAAGGTTCGATTCTCTCGCGGCGCGATATGGGTTGTGTGATGTCAGAGGTGAGAAATGACATGTAAAAAGTTTCTTGCACACATCTAAAAAGATTTTTGTCATATAGCTTTATCTCATACTTTTTCCTTAAAAACATGATATTTTCGTAAAATTCTTAAAATTTGTAAAAAATATCAGAAAGTAAGATATCTGTCCAATAAATCATGTAAAAGTGTAAAATAATTCTTGAAATAATGATCACTGCTCAGCTATTAGAAACAACTAGATCTAGTGATCTGGTGATTTCTGATGAGCTAAGCAGTGTACCATGAAAATATAATGTTTTTAAAGGAAAAGTACAAGACAAAGTTATACGACGCAAGAAACTTTTTACATTTTTCGCCTCGACGTCATAATTCAATATGGTTGCAGAGAGACAACCGAGCCTTAACAATTATTAATTCTCCAAATATGGCAGGATAGTATATATTGCTTACAGTATTTACATATGATCCGATACTTAAATAACTCAATTGATTTATAAGACTCCGAGACTTGCTAAAATAGACTTGCTAATAATTTCATTATATAATTATTGTTTAGGTATTTATCTTACACTTTACAAACTTAGTTATTAAATGCTGATTGGTGCTGGTGTAAACATATGAAATTATGTATTTCCACTTATCATTAAGATTACCTCAATATTACTTTTTCTTGTTCTTATTAAATTCAGAGAAAGTAAGAATTGTTAGATTCCGTTTTGCTTTTGTATATTTTTCTATTATTTTCATAGAATCTGAATCTTACAATTCTCATCAAATTATCATCAATCTACGATAATTTTGGTATATTACAATGTGTAAGGATTTTCTTCAATACAAAAACTGTATATCTTGATGTAAAAAAACAATATCATAAAAAATTGTTTATTAAAATTTCTATTCTATTGTTCATATTTTCATATATTCTTATATTATTGTAAAAAAAAAAAAAAACAAGTAATGTCTGCATGTAATATATAAATCTGTAGATACAGAATATGTCGACGTTATAAAGATACGTTATAATAGACACAAGTATAATTACACATTAGTACAAAGAGAAGAAAATTATAATTAACTACTACTAAGTAAAAACTTTTATAGAAATATTTCCAAATAAGTTTGTATGCAAAGAAGTATATTTTATTTTATCTCAGCTTTAAAAGATACATACAAAAATTTTTTTATTCGTCAATCTGTTTCGATTTTTTCTTCTTCTTTTTCTGCAACGACATATTTACTTCGCCGTTTTCGATGTGCCCATTTTCTTCGCCATTTTCGAGTATATCATGTTTTCTTTTTTATTCTGTTTCTTTTTCTTCTCGGTTTCTTTTTTCTGAGCAGCTAACATGTGTGCCGTTTCCTCTAATGCTTCTTTCATTACGTCCAAATTTTTCTTCGGTTCCTTACCAGTTGTGAAGAAATCTAGTCTTTCTTCTACTTGTTGTCGTAATTTCTCACCAAATATCTTTGTTGGTATTTCCGCGAAACAATCGATTCTAGAAGCAATGGAGCATTTGTTCGCCAAGTACCTCGCAATTCTACCTTTATTTTTAGTGCCAGCGCGACCGATAAAAGTAGAATGGAACAAAAGTCCATATTTTGGAGTATTCGATTTTCCGCGGCTTTTTAATGCTCTGAACAAAGCTTTCTCCGCCCCCAATATCTGAACAGTGGATGCCGGTGCCTTCGCTAAATTAGTAAGCGATCCAGCATGTGCTATTAATCTAGCGCCGACTTGATCTCCAATTAAAGTAGCTAGATTAGGTGCTACTCCTGCCATTTTTGATGTTAAATATTCGGACATCTTCTTTCTGTAATCCACCAATTTGACAACGCGTCCAGCAAAGATTTCAACATTCATTAAATCAACTGGACTTATATCCATGCCCATAGATGATTTGGCTGCATTGACAATGGCCTGAGCCCTTGAATTATCCATAACAATTTCTTCTAATTCCATCATTTTATCATCTGTCAATTCCTTTCTGTTTTTTATTACTTGTGCTACTTTCGCGTATGTATAATTCTCTGGAACAATCTTTGCAAGCTCTGGATAGTGATAACTGTACCATTCTCTAAAATCAAATAAAATAAAAATCAAATTTTCATATTTATTTTGTGGCATATTCAAGAAAAATGTTATATAATACCGTATACGCATGCTGAAAGTATTAATATCCTTATCTAATTGATCCAATAAAGCTATACTCTGAATGATCATGTTGTCTACTCGATTCACATTAAATTTAACTTTTGCTCTTGAATAACTATGTCCAAGACCTAGCTGTGCTATTGTTGAGTTTTGAGACGTAAAGCCTTTTATCATATTGTGGAAATGAAATCTTATTCCTCTCATAATTTCAGGAATAGCATTGACATGGTCGCATTTTATATTTATAGTTTCAGTAATATGGGCACCAAGTTTAGGATCAGCAACACCAAGAACAACATCCTGTTTGGCAAATTCACCAAAACAAGAATCTAAAAAAAGTTTTAAATCCTCTGTAACAATTCCTTCAGAAATGCTATTAATATTTTCCAGAGCTGAGAGTGCTGATTTGAAAGGTGAAAATGCAAGAAGTTTTATGATGTTACGAAATCGTGACAGATCTGTTACAGATTCTTCCACTTGAGGTAACAGCATTCCAATCTCTTCAAATTCCTTAATACGGAATATAGCATATCCAGCAGCATGTTCAAATAAAATGAAAAGCTGTAACATAAGTATTTAATATTAATGCATCTATGTATAAGCAAAAATATATTTGCTTTTCATTTTTATCATAGAATCAACATGCACTGCTGTAAATTATTATCAAAAAATATTATTTTCTAACTTATTGACATCCAAAAACTGAAATTAAAAAAACAAGCCTTAAGTAACGATTTTCCTTTTCAGAATATATTCTACTCAAATACAATTTACAAATTTATAGAATTATAGGAAAATCAGATGAGAGAGCGTTATATTGCATATATTAATTATATTATATTCTACTAAATTTTTTATTATTATTTCTATTATATTGTTACAATTGTTTTATTTTTAAATATTTGTACATTTTCTAGAGGTTAATATCCTAAATGACATAATTATTAATCAAATAATCATGTCCAAAACATGCAAACGAAATTTTGCAAAATATTCATTTTTACTTCAAAAATCTAATATTAATTAAGAATTAATTGTACAATAAAATTTAAAATTTAACTATCATACTCGTATACCGATACCTTGCACTAATCGGTACGACGTTAAAGACAATTCGAAATTATAACTCGGATAAGACATTGCGATTCGAAAGTTATTATTTGAGCTTACCATTTTTTGAAAATTTTGTTTTTTATTCTTTCTACGATTCTATAAAAAAAGTCTTCGCACTTAAGACCTCGGAAAATTTCAGTAAATTTCAACCATGTGTACGATGTAGCAGTATGTGGAATACCGAATATGGAGATCTTAGGCTTGTTCTACAATGCATCGTGTATCAGTGTCGTAGACCATGGGACGTAAGAATGGGCCAATCACACTCAAATATTCTTCTCATTCGACTGTAATTGGTCAATTCTTGTGGCACCAACATCCGACGTATTGTAGAACAAGGCGCTTATGGCGCGGCTTAAGCCTTGTGTACACAATGCTAGAAATCGGTTCGAGATCTCGAATGAAGAGAAAATTGACCAATCATATTGATCAATTGAAAATAATCACTGCAATTGGTCAATTTTTTTCTCTGTGAGATCTCGGATCGATTTCTAGCATCGTGAACACAAGGCTTTAGACCTATTTTACAATGCGTCGTCTGTCAATGTGGGTAGTGGGCCGTAAGAATGGGCCAATCAAGTATTCTGCTCACATTCGTCCGTGGTTGGTCAATCTTGTGGCTTGCGGTTTGCGACATCGACATGCAACGTATTGTAAAACAAACCTCAGATCTGTTCTACAATGCGTCGTCTGTCAATGTCGTGAGTTGTAAGAATAGGGAATCAATCACAATCAAATATTTTCCCCACATTCATCAGCGATGAATCAATTCTTGTGGTTTGCGGCTTGCGACACCAATATGCAACGTATTATAGAACAAGCCTTGGGTTGGTTCTATAACGTGTAGTGTCGGTGTCACAAGCCACAAATTACAACACGCACAACGCATTGTAAAACAGACTCAGGCTTGTTTTATAATACATCGCATGTCGGTATCGCAAGCCATAAGAATTGACCAATCATAGTTAATTGTGGAGAGAATACATGAATGTGATTAGACCATTTTTACGCCTTTTTTAGGCCCATGACACCGACGGGAGCATCCCGTTTGACCACGTTGCGATTGATCACAACCATTCACATCGACCGGTGCCTAGAGGTTTTCCTCAAACGCGAGTGGCTGGTGATCAATTGCAACGTGTTAAATCATTGAGTATATAGGCATGGAGGGGGAATATTGGCACCAAAAGCGTGTCCAAAGTGCGAGAGAGAAAGATATACGAGTGATACTCCTTTCTGCACATGCATCGAAATTGACAGATACTATAGGCAGAGAGGAACCTGAGAGCGGCCACGCCGGCCTTTTTCGTGACACCGTAAAAATCACCATACACTACCGCCATTAACGTCTATAATTGAGCCGTGGAACTACGTGGAAGTCACATCTATTTTGCGACACTGCCGATAAAATCATGTCTCGTAAAATAGATGTGGTGCGAGTCCATGTTACATCGACAAATTGTAGATGAGAATGTATAATATAATTTTATATATATATATATATATTTACGTTCGCATAATTTTTCTTTTATTAGACTAAAGGATTGATTAATATTGACAAAAATATATACATTTATCAATATATTAATTTTTTATACATTCATATACATTTCGATTCGATGTTGACTCGATGTGTGTCGATTCCATTAACATTTCTCGCTAGGAGGAGGATTAGGTCATATTAGTTTCTTTCTTTTGTAAAATATCTGTTAAAATATCTGTTTGACAAAAATAAATCGTGAAATTTATAAAATATGATATTTATTCATATAATCTATTGACCATTACAAAAAAAGTTGCTATGTAGTAACTGTACGTGTAATAATAATAATGAAAGGTAAAAATAATTAAGAGGATTAATTTTTGTATTTTTTCTTTTAACAAAAAATAAGTTAGTTAAAGTTAAAAAGTCAAAAAGTTAAGTTTGAAGATAAATTGGAATTGAAAAGAAAATTGGTCATGTAATTATTTATGGTTATGTAATTATTTATATTTATGACT